CCGCTGTGCCACCGGCGAGGCCCTATTTTATTTTTTTAATTAATTATTTTTTTTCTCTCACATCAGTGTAGTTCTCCTAGTTCTCCCACTACTGTGTCACCCATGAACCATCAATGTATTCCATTGTGTTCATCCCTCCACTGTGTTGCCCTCTTTAAACTCCCTCCCTTGCTGTGTGCCTCAGTTCTATGGTCAGCTTTCCAGTTTTGACATTTTCTTGACCTTTTGTTTGGTTTCTCTATATTCCACATGCAAGTGAGAGCATCCAGTATTTATCTTTTTCCTTCTGACTAATTTCAGCTAGCATAATTCCTTCCAGCTCCATCCATGTTGTGGCAAATGGCTTAAATTTTATAATTGCTGAGTAATATTCTATTGTATAAATACACCACACCTTTTTGTCCCATTTGCCTATTTTGGGGCATTTGGGTTTGGAAGCTTTGTATAAAATGTATGCTTACTTCTGACACCATATTTTCAATGCATTATTTATTTAATATAATGTATGCATTATTTATGCATTATTTAAATATCACTCAAAAAAAGTAAATAAATTATTACTACATGAAACAATGTGGATGGATCTCAAAAACAAGGAGAATGAAGGAATCTTGACACATAGTTATTCACACTGTATATACACACTGTTTCTGTGATGTTTTGCAAAAAGGCAAGACGATAGTGAAAAAATCAAAACAGTGATTAACAGGTGGGCAAGTGAGGACAAGAATTCACTGGAAAGGGACATCAAGTAATTTTCTTGGGTAATGGTAATGGTTTATATCTGGACAGGGATTTGAGTAACACAACTTGCATTTATCAAAATCCATTGACTGACACTTAATATTTCAGCATGTAGATTTTACATCAAAAGGAAAACAGAGGTGTAGTCAATTTTTGAGCTCTAGTTAATGGGGTGCATACTGAAGTATTTAGGGTGAAGTGTATTGATATCGGCAGATTTTTGGAAATGCACTAAGAAAAGGTAGAATGCTGATTATATAGAGTGGTAGGTAGGTGATAAGGGGCATATACTAAAATGTTAAAAGTGAAAGAGGTCAATATATGGCTGTTTAGAATTTCAGCTCTTGTATGTTTGAAATTTTTTATTTTCCAATTAAATGAATGATGAAAAAGATTGAAAAATTATCAGATATTATACATAACAAAATACTAATGAAATGATAAGCATCAAATAATTAACCCAAATTACCAATCACTAAAATTGATTCATGAATAAATATAAAATCCAAATATATCACAAACCATCGAAGGAAACAAATTGGCAATCAAAACCTTTCCCCCCTGCAGTAAAAAAAAAGACAAGAAAGAAGTCCTCAAGACTTTAAAGATGAGTTTTATAAACTTTCAAGGAATGGTAATTGTTGGAGACCCCTAAAGCAGGAGGTGTTGAGATAAGGAGACGTCAAGGTCGTGACTAGAAGACTGGTCAACATGGGCTGGAAGACTGGTCCATGTCCAGACCAAGATGTCCTTTCTTGCGTCAGCAAATCTAAGCCTGAGAAGCAGGTAAGGTTAGAAAGGGAGTAGAATATACATGATAACATAGAATCTTGGCGGTGAATGTGTGCCTGGACAAGCCTAAATACTAAGAAAATGATTCATTGTCCAACAACCAACATAGAGGGGAGGGGGTCTGTTTGTGTCAATACAAATATATTGCACCTGGAACTCAGGACGCTTGAACATAGAATGAGCGGTCTTGTGTCCTCTGAGTTCCGCTTCTCTTAAACTCTATTTTGTGTCTGTCAGTTCTTTATTTCCAAGTTCCTTCAGTTCCCTTTCCTCAATCCTGTTCACTGGAGCTGGTCTCTGGCAGGTAACCCTTTTCATGCAATTATTTTTTTAAAATGCAAAGTTGAAAGAGTACTTTTGACATTGATGTTAGATATTACTCAGCATTCAAAAAAGATAAACACATGCAATTTGCAGCATCATGGATGGCGCTGGAAGGGATCATGCTCAGCGAAATAAGCCAGAAAGAAAAAGAAAAATACTGGATGGTCTCACTCATAGCAGGAATCTAGAAAATTTAAATAAGGGACCAGGAAAAAGAATAATATAAGAAAGTAAAAATCAAAATCAACAAACAACTATAAACCAGAGACACTCTATGGAGGGTGGGGGGTGGGGAGGGGAGGGATTGGGGTCAAAATAAGGCAGTCGCAATTGTATGGGGAATATAAAAATGAAATTTATAATAAAACAAAAAAGATAGATGTCTAGAATAGACAAATTTACATAGGGAAAAAAGTAGATCAGTCATTGGCCTGGGGCTGTAGGCAGGGAATGAAGAGGAATGGCCTTTGGGTTTGGAATTTCTTTTGGATGATGAAGATGTTTTGAGATTGCCTTGTAATGAAGGCAGCACTGCTCTGTGAAGTGCCAGCGATCATTGCGTAGTGCACTTTGCATAGGTGACACTGTGATATGTGAAAAATAGTCAACAAAGATGACTAGGTGAATGCAAGAAAAAATTTTGCTAGGAATGTATTAATTCCTCAACACCAGAACACTTAAGGACACAATTTATTATTAAAAAAATAAATAATAAAAATTAAATAACAACGACCATTTCAACAAACTTGTTCTTTATTCGGCACATATTTATTGCATGCTTTTTATGGAACAGACACTGTAGCAAACAAAAGAGAAAAAGTTCTGCTCCTCAATAGAAATGGAAAATTATTTAATAAATTTGCACACCAAATCTCAGCAAAATATGATTACAAGAGAACTTTTATCATAAGTTAAACATATTGCTCAAAAGCAGAACAAACTTCAACCTTAATCCTGAAACACTGGATGATTTCTCACTGCTCCTAATAAGATATTTGCACTAGAAATTCTAGCTATGGATTTAACTTTGTAAAAAGATATATAAAAATTGCACAGAAAAAGAAAAAAATTCTGACCCTTTATTTGGGATGAAATAATTAAAATGTAATTTAAAAATCCAATAGTCTATAAGCAAGCTATTAATACTAGGAAGATAAATTTCAATAAAGTTGAAAGGTATAAAATCAATGTAGAAAATACCATGGTATTTCCATATGCTACAAATAACAAAGAAGTTAATGTAATTGAATTTTTAATGCACAATAGAAACAAATAGATGAATCTGCTAACTATCTAATAAAATTTGTATGTGACGATTATCAGAAACATTTTCACCAATGACAGCAGCAGATTAGCCTTGGTGAATGAAAATGTTGAACCTTTGCAGAACCAACACCATGCCCAGCCTTGGGCCAGAACTAGAGTCAGCAGGAAGAAAGAGATTGGCATTCATATGGTAGACTGTTCCACTAGAACTGCTTGGGCAGTGAGTGAGACCTGAGTGACATTTCTCCATTTGGTGAGAATTCATCGTAGACATATTCTCAGTTTCTTTGTCCACATTCAAAACATATTTATTGTGGAACAAGTTTGTTTGAATCCATTATAATCTTGAAAAAGTAGTGAAGATGCCAAAAAATGTCCTCTTTTCTCTAGTTTAAATTCTCTGCTACAGGAGAGTGCGAAATGAAGGGGACGTTGACAGTAAAAATTAAGGGGTAATTCAGAAAGAAACAGAAGTTACTTTTTCACCACTATAATTTTGACTGACCTATCTCTCCCAAATACCCTTTTCATTAAAACTTCAAAGTGTATTTCATGATCTGTGGGGCCTTTGCTAAAATTGTGGTGGTTTTCCTTTTGGAGTTTGCCACCGACCCTGTCCAGCACTTGCTCCACCATCAATTTTTTCATATTCTGCAATTTCTGCACCTTCATTAGGACTGAGTGGTATAGGTACTTCTCCAACAATGAGTATGAGCTGGGAAATTTTCTCATGGTAATCCCTTACAGCTGGTCTTTAGGTAAATGGTTTGAAGCAGAATAAACAAATGCATTACTTGTAGTCTATATTGGACATGCCCAGGTCCAACAAACACTTAAAAAATTCTGATTACTCCTGGATGTATGTACCTGCAATTCCACTGTGGTGTCATACATTTATATATATCTATATATATCTATATCTATATATATATGTGTGTGTGTATATATATATATAGCTAGCTAGCTAGCTAGATATTTCCTTGCAAATGATAGAATCTAGTTCTGAGTTAAGCAAAGTAGAATACAACAGTAACATTTAGGGTAGCTCACAGCATCAAGGGGAGAGTCAGTTTGTCAAGGTGGTGAAGAAAGCAAGTTTTGGGTAACTCCATTTGGTTTCAAATTCCATACACATTGTTTACCTCTTTGAGACATTTTCCTCTTTTCTATAATAAGAACAACTAAAGTATTAACCTAAAGCACTTGTTGTGATGTTTAAGTGGGATAATTTATGTAAAATGCTTAGCACATTGTCTGTCATGATACAAATATCTAATCATCTAATTGGGAATCATGTTTATAGCTCTGACTTGAAAGGAGAGAACCTAAGATAACGCCAATGACCTTATCAGCAGGGGACTTGGCACTTGGAAAGCCTGTGATGCAAGCAGAATTGTTGGTCTCTGTCTCTCTGAATCTCTCTTCGAGATTAAAATTGCTATAGGAATGAGCAGCCTGGCATTGACCATGAGCTCATTTCTATTACCACTCACGTTGCCAGGAATAGCAAGTAGGAAAGGGTAAGGAGATACAGGATTAACAGTCCCTTTGGAACCATATCAAACAAGTGGACTTTAACTACAGAAGAATGGCAAAGAGATTGACCTGGCAATAACAATATTTTTAATAAATTAAATATTTTTGCAAGAAAAATTGCCAGACAAGTAGTTTATCCATTCATTTTACTCTGACTAGGATTGAACAGGCATCATTCCAAGAAAATTACTCCACCTTTTCTTAAGTATCTTTAAGAAAATTGTAAGGTATATAGAGATCCTGACACCAGAGTATTTGCATTAGCTTTCTGGTATTACTTATTGAAATTCTATCTAGTTTCCTCATAATTGCAATTTTGTAGTCTATTATTTAAAATACTAGAAACATTTTCTCAGCATTCTTCTCATAGCTGCCTTCACCTCTTTGTTCTTCAGGCTGTAGATGATGGGGTTCAGCATGGGAGTTACCACACTGTATTGCACTGAGAAGATTAACTCTTGAGTGGATCCTGAATTTGGCATGAGGTAGCGGAGTAATCCGGAGCCATAAAAGAAGACTACTGCAGTAAGGTGAGAAGAGCAGGTGGAGAAGGCCTTGCTTCTGCCTGTGGTAGAGCTGATGCTCAGGATGGTGGACAAAATGCGAATATAAGAGAAACATATTAGCAGGAAATTTCCAAAGAAATGCACGATGCTGGAACAGAGAAGGGCAGTAAAACTTGTGGACACGTCAGAGCAGGACAAAGGATAGAGAGAGGGCAATTCACAGCTGAAGTGGTGAATATTTTGACCCTCACAGAAGTCTAAATTGAGAGCTACCAGAATATTGATGAGAGCATCTAGAAAAGCCAAACCCCACGAGCCCCACACCAGCCCCAGACACAGCTCTCTGTTCATCTTCTGGTCATAGAGCAAAGGAGATGTGATGGCCACATAGCGGTCATAGGCCATGACAGTGAGCAGGCAGGATTCAGTGCCCCCCGTGGCAAACACAAAGAAAACTTGAGTCATACAGCCTTCTACTGAGATGGTTTTCTTCTCAGACACCAGGTTCTCTAACAGCTTGGGCACAGTGACAGAGGAATGGCAGAGATCCAGAAAGGACAGTTGTCCCAGGAAAAAGTACATAGGGATATGAAGATGGGAATCAACCCTGATCACCAGCAGAAGCATCAGGTTACCTATCAGGGTCAGAAGGTAAATAAGAAGGAAAAGTACAAAGAGAAGAGCCTGCATTTGGGGGTCAGCAGACAACCCGAAGAGGAAGAACTCAGACACAACACTGTGGTTTCTCATTTTCCTTCAGTATTTTCTTTGAAATGTAAGAAATAAATTGGGTGAAACCTCTTGTTAAGTCTAACAAATATCCAAGTGTCTTAACCCTCTTCTCCATTCACTAAGTTTCATGCCCAGTCAAAAATGTATGTTCTGATGTGATAAACTTGCCTAAATCTATGTTTCTTATAACATTTAATAAGTTACTCTGCCCAATCCCCCTGTCTACCTTAATTGTTCTTTCCTTAATATCTTAGAGCTTGTTTGTTGTTTTATTATTAAAACTATGGGAGGATTCTGTAAATTTATTAAATCATCTAATAGAGAGGAAGAAATTGCAGGAGGAATAAGAAAATTGAGGAAATGGTGTCATTGAGAGAAGGTGGTCTTCTGCGCAGAAGCAGAGCATGGTCTTACTGCGTTTCTCTCATCCATCCGACATGTATGAAGTCAGTAGATATGTTTAGGAAAGGAGCAGTTCCGGTTAATGGCTTTCTAAAAAATAAATATTTAAATAAAGTCACTAAGGGAAAGTAAAGAGGGATAGTGCCTAGAGATTTTCAGGGTGAGGAGTAAGGGGATTCAGAGACAAAGCAGCACAGAGATAGCTGTTGGTCAATATGGTGAGAAGAGGCACACCCTGTTTGTGTGATTCACTCAGCTTCAGCTCTTGTCTGTGCCCTCATGCCATTGGTAAATACAGAATAGCTCCTGACTTTCTAAGGCTTTGTCTTCTGTTTGTCAGTCACTCTGAACTGACACAATCATTAACTCAGGATAACCTTTGGACACTGTTGACTTCACCATCGTACAGTTCATGCCTGGCTTTAGTGTTTGTGTTCATACTGCAAACCAGCATAATTTCTCAAAGGACTTATGATTTTCCCATTGTTTATCTTAACACCCAGAATTATGGTTCTTAGTAATGAATCCACATTAACTGTCTTTCTCACCTAGCTGAGCTATGTCTAGCATAGACTTAATGAAAACCTTTGTTAAATTCAGGGATCCAGAACACAAATATGTTTGAAAGTGCGAGAATTTCAACATCAAGGTGGAGTTTTAAAATTCATGTTGGATATAGACTTCTTCCTTGATTTCTAAAAGAGGAAAATAAAAGGCTAAATTAGGCATATTGTTTCAAAAAACATAAATGCTTCTAGTCATGTAAGAATTGCATTTTCATTGTTTTCTTTTTTTTTTTTTAATTCACTATTGGTGTTCTAACTACAGTGACCTGGATTCATCCTGAAAATATGACAGCATTGGCAGAAGACACTATAAATGCAAATGAATCAAACCATGAAATGCAGAGAACCACCCATTATAATTTCAGAGAGTAGCAAAAAGGTAGGTCTCTTCCATTCTACTCATTTTCAAATATAGTCCTACTATTAGAAATTCTTTAGACTTTGTGGAGACTTACTCACAGAAATAATGATAAGAGAGTGAAAATCTTGCATAGGCCATTTTCATGAGGGACACCCCTGGGAAATTGTACCCTGATAAGGCACCAGATTTCCTCATGGGTAAAAGTATGCAGTGTTAGAGTTATTTGAGGGATCACTGAAAAAAAATCATCACCTATTATTTTACCTGGTGCTACCATTTCATTATTTTTGATTCTTCATTTATTCAGCCACTAAGACCAAACTTAGAATGGGAACAGCTCTGAGAAGCCACCAGTGTGCGTTTTTGGTTATCATGTTTATGTGGCATTAGCTGATTACATCATTTACAAAGAAAAGTTGCCAGAGAGGAGCTCCTATTAGAATGAGACACGCAAAAGCACCTACAATTGTGACTGGACCAGAGGAGTTGCTTAAAACATGTTCTTCAAAAATAAATACTTTAAAAATAAATAAATGAAGATATGGAAACAATCCAAATGCCCAAAAATAGATGACTGGATCGAGAAGATGTATACGCAATGGAATACTCGTCAGCAATCAAAAAAGATCAACTCTTGCCATGTACAACATGGATGGGGCTAGAAGGCATTATGCTCAGGAAAATAAGCCAGAAGAAAGAGAAAAATATCCGATGGTTTCACTTATACAAGGAATATAGGGGGATCAAATAAGGGATCAGGGAAAAAAAAAAAACAAAATTAACAGGCAACTATAAATCAGAGACATTCTGCAGAGAAGGGAGAGGGACCAAAACAGGGGAGGGCAGAGCACAAAGGACTATGGCGAAGGTGCACAGGTGAATTGGTTGTGGGAATTTTACAGGGTCTATACCTGAGAGAAGAAAGCAAACATTGTACAAAAATGAATATAAAATATACATGAAGGAATAAATTATAAAAAATGATACATGAGGAATTGAATGAGTGAGACTTAAAAGGAGAATAACCCAGGGTCTTACTACTCACAAAAAACAGATTAGATTAGGAACCAGTAAGGGATCTGGACAATTTGGGCTTGCCTGAAATCATATGTAAAACCGGCTGGAGAAAAATTTCACCAACTGGTGAGGCTTTTCCCCATATAGTTTCTCTTGCCCTGCTCTGAGCTTTCACACACATAATCAGATGAATTAAAGGGGTTACCCTATAATGAAAGATACAGTTAATTTCTGTACCCTATATATGCAAAGTGTTCAGAGAGGGTGTTTTTTGAGTCACGTGGTACTCAAAATCTATCACAGATGTCCTGTTCTCCTCCCATCTTTTCAAGACAAGTTTTAAGTATTATTTTCCCCAAACTTCCAGGTATCTGGTATGATGTGGGTGTTCAGCACCATAGACGTGAAAAATAGCAAGGTAAGGGAAAGAGACTTCCTACCAAGGAAGTGTGAGAACTTAACTTCCTAACTTTAGTGCCGAAGACAACTGAGCTACTGAGAAACATTCTTGTTTCTTCACCCCCAATCCAAGTGTTTAATTTTCCCAAAAAGAGTAAAAAAAAAAAGATTTTTGTGGATAGGACCAAAACATTTTAGGTAACAGAAGTGAAGAATAGAGAAATGAGGAGGGCACTACTACCCAAAGGAGACAAAGATGAGAGGACGAGAGGGAAAGCAGTCGCCTGATGAGGGAATGACAAGAAGTGGTGGGGATCAGGGTAAAGGGCCTTACACAGGGACCCAGGGGCAGAGCAAACCATTAGAGAAAAGGGAAGCCATTACCGCGTGTCTCTCTTTTCCTGGTGCAGGATGCCGTCAGTTTCTCTGAGTTAGTGCGTGTCATTCTGAGCTCGTGAGAAACTGGCAAGAGAAAATGTACCACCACTGTTGAATCATGTGAACTGGTGCCGCTCTTTCTGTTTAAGACTTTTCTTGTGTAAAGAAAAAATTGTAATTCAGTTTTCAAAAGCCCCTGCAAATAAAAACATCAGAAAACTTTTCTAAATTTTTCAACAGCATTGTTTTGCTCTTCCCTCTTATTGACGCCATAAAACAACAAAGAAAAGGAAAACTTGAAAACTTCAGATTCCTAACAAGTAATAACGTGACTTCTTTTTTATTTCCCCTGGCATAATTACATAGACAGTCCTCTCTCTGGCTATTAATATATTGTTAAGTGAAGCATCGTAACAAAGGAATCCAAAGGTATAGCCATTCAGAAGGGTTTGTAGGTTTAAGTGGCCAATGGGATAACCAGGCATTTCCTCAAAGCTCAGGGGGCGTCTACATCTGTCCTGATTGCTGGAGAGCTTAGTCTGCTTCACACTTTGGACTTATTAGTGTCTTACCGGATGCTCTCTCTGGGAATTCCTATAGAACCTAAGTGACTCACAACTTACCTTTAGATCATCCTGCTAATGTTGCTGTGCATTCAATTATTATATATAATAAAGATAATTATTATTATAAATTGTATTATCATCATCACATGGTCAATTGTATTTAAATTGGCCTGTACATTTGACTTTTTTGCTCAATTATTTCTATACCCAAACTGAAAAGTTTAATAGATGAAACTAAGATGTCAATGGATGATTTTAAGGCAAATTAAACAAAGCTAAAGAGGTACTAGTGAGTCAGAAGATAAGTTAGAAAAAAATAAGAACTTCTCTTGGTGAGGATATTATGTCTCTTTGAAGAATTCTTTGTAATTTTTCCTTTAGTGGAAATCTTCTAATGATGTATTTATTTCACCTTTATTTTTAAAGGATGAAGATAGATATAGAATTCTAATGGAGATTTATTATTTTTTATTCAGTACTTTGAAAATATTTTTATTCAGTACTTTGAAAATTGTTGGCATTTATGTTTTTGTTAATGTGAAGTCAGTTGTTAGTTTTTTTGTTTTGTTTTGTTTTTTGTTTTTTTTTGGTGGAACACTCGCTGGCAGCTGGGGAATGAACTGGTGCTGCAGACGCTGCGGGCAGCCTCACAGCCCAGCGCTCAACCGCTGTGCCACCAGGGGAGGCCCAATGTCAGTTGTTAGTTTAATTGTGCTTCTCTGGAGAGAAATTGTCCTTTCTTGCCCTCTTCCTCCTTTTGGTATTTTTCTCTTGATTTTTAGTAATTTTACTATCATGTAACAAACTTTCTTTTTATTTATAGGTGGGATTTATTTATAAGACTTCTAACACAGTTAGTGTATTTTTTTTACAGTTTGGGAAATTTCTATCCATTATGTTATATACTACCCTATTTGCTCATATATTCTATAATGTACATGGGACTGAGAAAATACTTAAAAATATTTTTTTAAAGATTCATTTATTTATGCATACAAGAACTGGGGTACAGACCAGAGGTGTGGGAGGGTGAGATGAATCACCAGAGACAGAGAGAACAGAACAGGAGGATTGACTGAAATACACTGCTGAGGGGAAGAGCGGCTAGACAGGAGATCTGCTGCGCCATGTGGGTCACCTCCCTGGCCAGGGATCTAACTCATCCTGCAGTGGCTGTGCATAGCTTCATAGTGCAGTGGCTGTGGATAGCTTTATAGTGCTGCATCTTAACCCCTTGCACCACCAGGGAGACCCCTTTAGAAAAATTTATGTGTTTATGAACACACACACACACACACACACACACACAAATAGAGAAAATAGCATGAA